TTTACTATATATATCCATGCATGAAACAAATGTTTCTTGTACTAACTTCGTGTTGAGTCGTCAGAATGGGGTTGAGGTCGTGGTGGTAGCACCACCTGGCTCTCAGATATCGGTTTATGTTTTTATTCCCACTGAAAACCACCATCTATCTTTAAAAACAAGTAGTAGCATGTATTCGTCACTCAAAAAGAAAAGAAAAGAAATAAGAACGCTGGGAGCCCATAGGGACAAGGAGTATGATTGGTCAAATATAAATAATACAATAGGCCGTTTAGGCCGAACATGGCTTTTGATTCATTTTAAAGAGAATTATTAGGAATATTTGGTTATTTAGAATGAAAAATGGCATGGTCTTTTCCCCTAGGGCCACATGCTTTCTTACTATGGTGCGCCCACCGAGAACATGTATGTAAGATTTTTCTCATTCCATTGAGTGCTATGCCTAATTTTTTCTATTTTTTTTTTTTGTTAACTGCACTTATGCTATTTTTTTTTTTTGTCCCCCCCCTCCTTGAAACTTTCATCTCTATTAGTCTATTGGGTTCACTAAAATGCCTTGCACCTTCTCAAGTTTAAAACTTTGGGACCATTACCCCTTAATTATGTAAGGGAAAAGTTTATATGAGGTTGCAACTTTAAAATGTAGAATTACAGATGCACCTCAAAAATCTATCGAAAAGGTTGTTTTAATAATGGAAACCCTCTATTTGATCATCTCAACATCGAGATCTATGAATATAAAAAAAAAAAAGTTTTTGAGTCTAAAAAGTAGTGCATCTTGCAAGACATTATCCAGACCGTCCATATTCAAGATTTTCATATGTTTATAGATCTCCTTGATTTTAACTATTTATGGAGTTTAAAAGTTTATGATTAGATATGAAAATAGATTTTAAGATAATCCTAAGAATTTTTTACAACAAAATTACATGTTATGATAAAATTTGGAGGTGAGCCTTAATTGGATTGTTTAAGGTTGCAACCTTATACAAACCACACCCATTACGTTTTTCTTTGTTTTTTTTACAAATTTGATTTTTTTTATTTTATAAAATGGCAAACCCATACATTAGCCATCTGTATATTTTTTTTGTGACTTGATATATAAATTTTATTGACGATAATAATAATTATTTTAATAATTATAATAACAACTATAATATATTAATTGTTAAATAATTCATCTCTTGCAGGTATTTTGATAAAAATATTTCAATAAATGAATAAATAAATAATAATAATAATGCATTAACAATGGTAACAAATATCTTGATTAATCATTTTCCAAGTTCAAAAGATATTGATGCAATTGTAAAAAAAAAAAAATCATTTTCTTTTCATGTCTAAATTTATAGAGTGGGATCTATGGAAGTACGATTGGTTTTAGGCAACGGAAGAGAAAGGGAAGGTAGCATTTTGTAAAACAAAAAAAAATCAAATTTGTAAAACAAAACAAGAACAAAAACACAATTAGGGGACAAACAGTCCCAAAATTTTAAACTTGAGGGGGTACAAGGAATTTTGGTAAATCCAATGGGCTAATAAGAATGGAAGTTCTGGGGAGGGGGTAGAGATCATTTTCTCTATTTTTTTATTGATACATGAAGAACCACCATAAGATATACGTGGGGCACAATTATTTTCTCAAAGTGTTCTTCTCTCTCTAAATTTTTCAAACTCCTCTTGCAATCAAGTAGCTAATATCTTCATCAAGCCTTTGCCACGAGATGTTTTCGAGATTTTTGCTTCAAACTTGGGCTTCAAATGCCTCATCAGCCGAATTTGAATGGGAGTAATTGAAGCAAAATTCAATTAATATAAGAAAGTATCTTGTTTTTTCCTTTTGAGAGGAGAATATAACAAGATACGAAAACATATATTATATGTAACAAAATAAGAAAGTGTACATTACACTATTTAAATACCATTATATATACAATGAATAACCGTCATAAGATGTATGTGGGGCACAATTATTTTCTCAAAGAGTTTCTCTCTCTCTAAATATTTCTATAACATATTTTGTTCCACTATGAGATTTCCTATTTTTCTTGGTAACTCCCTTAACTCCCGATAGAGTAAGAAACAATAGTTGCTCGATCAATTGCCAAAGTTGAATGCCGTGCACGATACTACTATGAAATTATCTGGTTTCGCCCTCATCTATTCTACGTAATAATGAAAGTCCTATTTAAATAGCTTACAATGATAAATTACATTAGTGAACGAGGCACATTAGAATAGGTTGTCATTTTACTTGCTATCATGTTTTACATGGGACCATTACACTTCTTTTTGTTTTTTCAGAATATCACTTCATTGATCTTCTTACAAAAGACTCTTCCTATTGAGTATTTTTGCTACTTATTATTCAAACTCTAGATGCTCTCATTCAAGACACTTAAGTCGGAAAGGAGATACTTGAGTCTAAAAGGAAATATATTTTTTGAAAATACATACAATTTGTACAATCCGATCCATATATATATAATTTTTTGGTGCAGATATTGGCAATCGGTTATATATAGCAAAGTCTTCTATACCTCTTGTATATTTATATCACTTCGTCTCTTCATCTGTCAAAGAAATAAACAAAAATTCTCTACCTCTCTTAGCATTATCAATACGCACCAAAAATGGGGCCAACATATGTCCCCTATTCTTGCCAAATGCTACCTAAAATTGCCTCCTATCATTCAATCTAGGCAGCCTCACCTGTACAGTTTGAAAAACCTTCGTATCAAGCATCTCAGCCTTGACAATTATGGATAAAAAATGAAAAAAAGAATTTCAAGCTTTAAAAATAACATAGTTGAACCATTCATGTTTAAACCTTCAACCCACTTAAACATTTCATAAAAAGCTTCTAATGACATAACTGAAATTTCCAGCAAGGTTCAGATTTACCTTTTCTTTTGAGGAGATTAGGCCTTATATAAACGAAAAAAATTTATAAAAGTATGAGGCTCTAAACAACCAAATTAAAATGCACCTAAAAAATTTAACTGCAAGAGCTTGTTTTAATGCCCAAAAAACCTCAAATTTGATCATCTCGACCTCAAGATGCATAGACATAAAAAAAAATAAAAAAATAAAAATTTTAAGCTTTGGAAATAGTGTATCTTGAATGCATTTTTGGACCGTCAATTTTCAAGATTTTCATAAATATGCTCGATCTATACTATGTTTGAAGCTTAAATTTTATAATTAGAGATGAGGATAAATTTTCAGACTTTCTCATAGATTTTCAATATTAAAACCACATCTCTCGAAACAATTTGAAGGTGCACCTTACTTTAATTGTCTAGAGCCTCGGACTGATACAAACCCCATCCTATAAAAACTGCATCCTAAGTTAATTTTATAAAGAGAAGACTTATTGTGAGAGGATTTTCCTTTTCTTTTGTTCGACAAATTGTGGTGGTAAACGTCTTCTTCGTGAGGGGTCACTTTTGTGGTAGCGTTTGCCTCCCTCTCTCTCTCTCTCTCTCTCTCTCTTCCTCCACAAAAGGGTAACCTAGTTCACACTTCACACAAGTGCCTCTCTCTCTCTCTTCCAAAAACGGTGCTTTGCGCGCATTTCACACATGTGCCTCTCTCTCTGCTAACAAACGGCGCCCTGTTCACATTCTCTCTCTAAAAAAAAGTGCTGTTCATACCAATGTTGTCGTATTCGTGCTTCGAGTTTTTTTTAGTTTGGTGAAAAGTTGAAGCAATTCTACTTTTCGGTTGATTCGGGGGAAAATTTCGGATTGTTATTATTTATTTAATATAAATAAATTAGATATTTATATATATAAATAAATTTTTCAAAAAAATAATAATATAATTTTTATATAGTATTACTTTGCTTGGGCCAAAAAAGCCGAAGCTTCGGCCCAATCTACCCGAAACAGTCATGACTCGACTCGAAACGGCCCAAATCTGGCTAAATCAACGGCTCGCTTCTCTTCGATTTATGCCTTTATCTCCAAAAACTTTGACCTCTTCAACTGAAGTGAAACGAATTTGACAACACGTTCACACTTCACACATGCCTCTCCCTCTTTATAAACGGTGCCTTGTTTCCTAAAAAAAAATCTATACCAAAATAATAATTGTTTTGTGCGGGCTCGACCGTATTTCTACAGTATGCGGTCCAAGGGCATAAATCATTTACTTTAAAAATGTATGGAAATAGATGGTCCATTTAAAAATAATTGTAATTAACTGTCTAAATATTATTTTAATATAATTATTTTTTTTAATTTTTTCATATTCATAATCTCTATGTTAAAATTATATATTCTCTAAAAAATTAAAATCAAATTATATTTAAAAATATATTTATTACCGATCCCACATTTAGAAAAGTGTTAGCTTTGGCACATGCTAAAAACCATGCTCTCTCCTCTCTCTCTCTCTCTCCCTTCTTGAACTCTTTGCCACACAAAGGCGAACAAACAAGACCGCGGTTTCATTTGTCATAAGCCTCACCATTCCCAATATTTGTACCCAAGGTTATTCAATCTCTCTTCCTCCTCTGTGCAAAAAATTTATATAAGCTTACAAATACAAAATGTGGAATTTAAGTTCACCAAAAAAATCTACCAAGTTCGAAAGTTTCCACATATAGATATATAAATATGAAAAGAAGAAAAGATTCCAAATCTAAAAAGTAATGCATTTTGCACCGCATTATCTAGACGATTCATTTTCAAAATTTTCACATGTCTGAACCAATTTTAGAATCTAAAATTTTATAATTAGATATAAAAATAGGTAACTCGTCCTAAAAAAAAAATACACTACAATAATATCTTATAATAAAATTTAAGGGTACACCTTGCTTTTGATTGTTTAAAATTGCAACTTTATACAAACTATACCCCTCCTCCTCCTAAAATCCCCCTTGTATACACTCATAGCCTAACCTTCAACTCTCTCTCTGGAAGCATACACCCAAAACAGGTGGAATTGGCCCAAAATTTTTTCCTAAGTAACAAATACAACACAAAACATTAATAATAACAATTGTCCAAAATTCATCAACCCCAATGTCAATTAATACTAATTTTCCGGGCTGTAATACAATAGCACCCAAATACACAGTTATATAGAGAGAGAACACATAGAGAGAGAAAGAAAGAGAGAGTAGAGAAATCGTACTCCGCACAAACCCAATCAGCTCTCCATAACTCCCTGAATCTCATGGATTAGAGCTTCTTCGAGCAAACCTTGAGCCTCTCTCATGAGATCCGGGCTTAATCTCACCATTAAAACGCAAAACTCTTGCTCATTCAAAGCTCCATCACCGTCCGTATCTCCCTCTCTAACCATGCCCATGAGTTCTTTATCGCTAAGACCATCTAAGCCTAGAAGAGCAGAATTCTTTTTCAAGCTCTCAAATGTTATCAAACCCTGCACCGGGTCAGCCAAAAGCTTGAATCCGTTGCAGAGCTCCGCCATGAAAGCATCGGCTTCCAGCTTTTCGGCCATGATAGGAAGCAAATCTTCGTATTCCATTGGCTGGTTATGGCCGTTTTTTGCCGTTTTATCGCCGGTTTTCGCCATTATTTCACCGGAGAAAGAATAGGGTTCTTAATGGCGTTTGGTCGAAGGGGACGTTTCGAGACGGGAATTATACGAGCGGGGGAAGTATTTTATTGGGGATTTGGGCTACATTGACCTTGATATTTGGGCAGGAATATCTACTGTGCCATTGCTCTTGTGAGCATCAATTAATTAGTCACACAAGCCCTAGCAAAAGCCCAAAAGACAGAGAAGTTAGGCCCATGATCTATTTTTTTGGGGATTTTATGTTAAGCAGATGTTTTTTTTTTTTAATTCTATACTATGAAATCATTTATCTTTGGTATAAGAAAGTCGTAGTTATTTATGATTGTGAGATATAAAATACGACTGATTGGGTTGTTTTATAAAGTTCAAAAGAAATATTTTTGATCCAATAGTGTAAAGTAAATGATCTTATATTTATACTTTTTTTTTTTTGTAAATATAAATCTCCAGTCCATCCTCTTTCTCTAACACACAAATATACCGTCTTAGCTCTCATTCTTCATATGAAAAGTGCCACCAGCATAATTCAAACAGAGATCTTTAGATGCCTAGATGGGGGGTAAAGTCCATTTGATCGCAGTTCCCTTTCTCTTCGATTTTTAAACACTAAAGTTGTAGGTTTTATTGATTCTAATATTTTCAATTAATCTAACCAAGTCCATTAAAAAATGGGTTTAAAGTTCGAAGGTTAAAATACAAAGCACCACATCTCAATATCTTGAGTTTTATTTCCGCTACAAATAAATAACTTTTTGTCTACATGACTACCAAAAAAAAGAAAACAGGACATCCAGCAAGGGTATTATAGTGATTGACCTTATCCCAGAAGTTTTGGAGGGTCTCTTAGATATAAAGATTAAATTCAGGGGTTTTTATCAAGATGCACCTTCTTGTGGGTTTCCAGGTGACCCACATCACATGACAACGTCCATTGCGCCCTTTCCTCGAACTTTCTCTCTCTAACGGCTTCTTTAATTTGTTTCAACAAAAATGACGAAAATGACCTTCAATAATTCCAAGAACCCCTCTACAACTACGAGGACAAATCCGAAAGTCCCAGCTTTTGATTGAAAGCGCCTTGTTCCATATTCTCTACCCTTTAAAATTGTTTATGCACAATTAATATTATCAAATGAGTTTTTAAAACATTTTTTTATTTCAAAAAGGACGGCAGATGTATCTCTTGTTTTCTCATAAATTGTAAATTTCAAAATTTAACGTTTGGGGAAATAAACTTAAACATCCCTTATTATAGAGATATTAAAAAATTGTGATTGTGTACCATGAAATTATTTATCTTTGGAATAGTGAGGTCACAATTATTTACAATCATCCAACGTGAAACAATATGAAATATTATAGTTTGAGTGTATCATAAAGTTCGAAAAAAGTTTTTTTTAATTTTGAGCTTGATCAATAAAATAAATGCTGCAACCCAATTTCACATCCAATGGTTAATAAAAAATTACAGATTTTGAATTTGATAAAGTTATCTTTTTACGACGTTTTTTCTTTCTCAAAATGGTCTTAAGTAAAGTTGTAGCCTCGCAATTGTAACAATAATATTACATACTCGTGGTATCGAACATTGTCTTGGCTCAATATATTATGGGCAAGCTTAGCATGAAACTTATATGCTTCCCCTTATCCAACCGTCCATCCTAAATAGACGGTTGAGATTGCCCCAATCACAATGTCACGTCTATACATTATTTTATTTTTAATTTTTCTATACAAATTATTTCCACAGTAAATTTTGGGCGTCCACTCCTCTCTTAAACTCGCACTTATAAAAAATATTATCAATAAAATAAAATGAACAATATACCCCTGAAAGTTTCTAGGGCTATTTTGGTCATTACATTTTATCGAAAAATTATTTTTAATATTTTTTGTAGGTGCGCCCCAGTGAGAATATGACACGTAGTAAATTTCATATTTATACAATTTGTATAAAAAAGTTAAAAATAAAATATTGTGAGGCGTCGGATCTAAATCAAACTGTGAGTGGCTCACTTGATCAAAATTGGACGGCTAGATGGTAGGAGAAGCATAGATTTTCTATGTTATAAGGAAAGTATAGAAACCGTTCCCATATATTATTCGGTACTATGAGAACTGAACAAAATAGTGTCACACTTATTTTTCTTTCTTTTTTCTTACAAAATCAAGTTCGATAGTCAAAATATTGAATTGATTTTTTTAAAAAAAGATAAAGATTTTGTTCACAGTAAGAACTTGATTATGTAAGATAAAAAACAAGGATATGTTTAGTACTGAAAATATTGAATTGGTTTATATTTAAAAGGAAAATATTATGTTTAGTACTAAGAGCAATAAACAGCACATTAAGACAATGTTAAGTACTCGCAATACCTAACATTATTTTTGCAGTTGTGAGACTACAACTTTAGTTTGGTACCATAAGTATTGAACTTAATAGCATTTTATAAAGTACGAGGTTTGTATAAGTTGTCAACCTTAAACAATCAAAGTAAGATGCACCTGTAAATCTCGCTAAGGTGCACTTCTAAATCTTGTTAAATATGTAGTTCTGGTATTGAAAACCCTTATGATAGACTAAAAATATATTTTCACCTTTAAATATAAAATTTAAAACTTAAAAATGGTGTAGATTGAGTAGATCTTTAAAAATTAAAAAGTTTTGAAAATGGATGGCCTAGATAGCATGTTAAAAGATGTACTATTTTTTGGACTTCAAATATTCCATTTTTATATCCATACATCTCAGTCAAGATGATCAATTGTAGGGCTTGAAACAACCTTTTCAGATCAATTGTTGAGATGCACCAATATAAGGTTGACATCTTATCTATAGCTTTTCCTTTTATGAAAAATTAAAATATAAGTTAGAAAAAAAGGGTCATATTCATGAAATTCAAACTTTTTGAGATATTTTCTAATTCCTAAATAAATATGTTTACATTAATTTCCTACCATTCAAGGTAAAAATAGTACTTTATTCAATTTTCCTCAGAATTCGTTTCCCTATTAAAATTTAGGAAATTATATGAAATATACCTTAATTTTCGTTTAATTGAAGAAAAAAAACCCTCAACTTTCATAAACCTTGCCCACATTATTTTTCCTCATTTTTGGTATTTTTTTATTAAACTAGCCTTCATGGTATTCATATTACCATAATGCTTAGCTTAGTCATTACGGTACTTAAGTATTACAATACTTAAGTACCGTAATGACCAAGCTAAGCATCACGATACTTTAAAGACCGTAATGCTCACTGAGTCTCTTTCTCCCTCATTTGCCACGTTTGAACATTATAGTCTTTAAAGTACCGTAATTCTTAGTACGGTAGTTATTACGGTAATATGACTGCCGTAAAGGTTATTTTGGTAAGAAAATTGATAAATAAAAAAATGGTGTAGATGAAGTTTATGACACTTAAAGGTTTCTTTCAATTAAATGAAAATTAAGGTATATCTCTGATAATTTCCCTTAAAAATTTAAAGTTTATAAACCTTTAGAGCTTAATAGGAAATTAGGATTGAATTATGGAGTTTAAAGTCTTTCACTTCTTCTAATTGTAATTTTTATTGAAATACAAATACGTTTTTACTTAATTGGGGAATTTCATGTTGGCCACGGAAGAAAGTGCCTTCACCCTTTATTTAGATAATCTCTCTTTTTCCGTATCCAATGTTTTTTCACCATCTTTGAGAGGATCCAATTCTCAAGTCTCTATTCGTTTTTTTCTTTTCTTTTCTTTTTTCATTTTTTTGGTTGGGTTGTTAAATAGTATTTTTTTCGTTTTTTTTTTCAGTTTGTTTGTTGGGTAGTTCAATAGTAGGAATGAAACTTGGGATATAACATTACCTAAGGTCAACTACTAACCACTCAAGTCTAGCTATTGTTCAGTCTCACACCATATTTCTTTTCAACGAAAGAAAATGAAGCTCACCATATGAAGGTTCGAAAAATCGCCAGAGTCGACTTATGCCCAATGGGAGCTTTTATCAATATTTGATCCAATGCTTTTTAACCTCAAAAATTTAACACACTACTTTTTATCTACATCTAGTTCATTTGGATCGATTTGATATTTTGAGGAGGGTTTGTTTCTTCCACCCAAAATATCATATATTCCGATTTCTGTCTCGATTCATAACAAAAATAACTTGAAATTTGTTGTGAATTAACCGTGTTTAAGTCCTCTATCAAATCTCCACATCAATTTGTTGGATAGAAAGCTAAAATAAGAAAATTCAAGATTCTAGATTTTGGGGCTTTTCATTCCTGAAATTGAAAATCTTTGATTTCTTTCTCATTCTTTCACCAAATTTATTTAAATTTGTCCCAACATGTTCCCATCACATTGATCTACAAAATCCCTAATGAAAATCAAACAAAAAAAGAAATCTCAAAAACCATTTTTTGGTTAATTTAAGCCCATTTATAAGCCATTTTCTTTCTACAATTATTTGTTGATTTTTTTTTTATTTTGATGTGTGACGACATAATACAATTTTCAATACTTGGTTTTATGTATACTTCATATTTTTTTGGCTGTTTTTCTCCTTTTTGTGTGTTTTGTTTTTATAATATTGACATCAGCGAAGCCGACTTGCCGAGTCAAATCATTCGACTCAGACTTAGCGGGCACTTGGTTCTGGTCCCCAAGCCGGGTTTAAAAACATTGTGTACGACTGCTTCATGCCTTCACAATTGATAAAACAAATATAAAATATGGAATTGTATAACAATACGAGTTACATTTGGTACAAGATTAGTCATAATCGTCCTCATCCCTCATAGGCAAAATATCTAGGGATCTGTCATAAATTTAGAAAAAAAATTGAACAACTTCGGAGCTTAGGTCAATGGCATACTCACAACCTTTCGATTTTATATTTAATGGCTAAGAGTGATTCTAACCTCTTTGTAACCCAAAAAATTGGGAAAAATACTTTTAAGGGATCAAAACCATTTACATAATCATGAAATAGTTGGAGAAAATCTCAATTAGTATCAAAGAGCTTACTTTTTATATTGGGAAAATTACAAAAACCCTTGAAATGGACTTTTTAGGCACTTTACCCCAACTC